GGATAACAGAATAGTCTGATACCAGTGAGCGGGGGCCAATGCCGTTAAAGTATAGCAAGGAATAGCAGTGAGGATCTGATGGAAATTCGACGAGCGGATGGTTCCTCCAACGCACAAGGCTTAGGACTTACAGCAGGATAGCAAGCCGTAGTCAAAACGAACTGTAGGAAGATGACGAGCTCGTTGAACCACACTCTGCGGAGAACCTTCCAAATGTCCACCTCCTCTTCTTCTTTCTTATCTGAAAGAAATGTGGTACGCGTGGTCTGATACCGCAGTGGATGGGCTACCCAGTAGAGTCTCCTGGCTGGATGAAACCTCGTCCTCGTGGATGTGAGCAGAGATCGGCATCTTCATGAGAGACACGTAACTTGTGATACAAACTACCACCTGCCGATACGAGCAAAAACATAGAAAAATCATAGAAAATTTCCAGGGGAGTGACTCACCGTTGCGAGAGCAGCCAAAAAGTAGATGGATGTTGAGTCAGCCTGGGAGGTCGAGATAAGCTTGGTAATGTCTCGGTAAACGACAGACACAAAAGTAGAGAAACCTGAGGTAAAAACGAGAATTGATTTTTACAAAATCCCATCGAATTTCTCGCGGCCTCGCCACGGTGTGGCGTACCAATGCCGATCTGAAGCGCCTCTTGCATCTTAGGCGAATATTGCGAGTTCAGCGCGAATAGAGCGGAATCAAGGAAACCAGTTGTTATCGACATTGCGAACCTGCACACGACAGGACGTACCGATGCCGATCTGTAGAGCCTCCTGCATCTTGGGCGAATATTGCGAGTTCAGAGCTAGTAAAGCGGAATCCAAAAACCCAGTCACCACAGACATCAAGAACCTAGAACGACCACCAACCCCGTTAACCCACTGGACGACTACTATAAAGGGATGAACTACGACTAGAATACTTACACTAGGCCGAGTAAGATGTCATAAACGACCTCGGCGGGTAGTCCCAACCAACGGAAAAGAAAGATGACGAACAAGCAGCAGAATTGTCCGCTGAAGCCACCCAGGATCCGTCGATGGAACTTCATAGACTTGCCCAAGGAAAGGATGAGGACCGTCATGACCGAACCGAACTGGTACAGACAAGTGACCACGAACTCAATGTTCTTGTCAGGGAATAGGGTCTTCCAGTAGTCGAAGGCTGCCCAAATAGCTGAGGAAAAGACGGTATACACTATTATCACAAGACAGATGAGAGCTCACCAGAGATAGGGAACAAGTAACCTATACCTATTATAACCATCCGGGTGTATGCTCCAGTAGTAACGGTCACGAACTTGTTCTTTTCCATCGGACTAGCCTCGCCTCCCGACAAGGTGTTCACCATAGGTTCATTCGATGCACTCATGAGTGATGGTCAATCGAGAGAAAACCAAGTATTACAAAGTCGGAATAACCAACACTGCAAGCAACAGCGCCACTTGATATATTCAAAACACCTCAACGAGGACAGAGGTAACTACATGTCCCACTACTAGCTTGGAAGTTTCACGGACATAACTTTCCAACAGACCAAGACACAGTCATTCCAAAGCAATAACGCCATAACCGAGCAATAATAACAGCTAGTTAGAAGAGAACACACTACGGAATACACGACTTACTAGGGAGATCTCAGTCGATCTAGTAGCAAAAAGCGAGACCTGGAAAGCTTTGCTGGCTGCACAATACCGCTGTCTCCTCTAAAAACTCATCCCTCAGAGAGATAGCTAACACTGCTCGGACTCCCATGAACAATACCACTATTGCAATAATATCGCCCTTCAGCCTAGTGCCTCTTGTGAGTACACGAATTGCAAGTTGCAGGATGGTTCCGTGAATATCAATGAAGTTGTATATTCATAATTTCTTCATTGTGTCAGTTGCTGAGCCTGTTACATATCCCCCCGTAGCTGTACTAGACCTAGGGATGGAGCTTTAGAGATAGCAATATCCTGTTTGAGAATTCAACGGCTCAACGATTACCCTGTAATGGATGACGACTACATCGCTCACAAAATAGAAGCTACCGCTTTGGGTCTCCCAGGGGCCCTCAATCATCACTCTTCCCTCCTCCTTCCCTGAGCATTCCCATGCCTCGAACCAACGTCCACTAGCAGAAAGCATGTGATCAAAGTAACCCCACTGACGCCCATCTAACATGTGATGTCACTCAACACAACTTGCGGGACATTATCCTTAGAAGCTAGCAATGTACAGGTCACCATCCTACCGTGGGAATTATCATACGTAAGGTAAAGGCTCAGCTTATGCTTCGACACGCTCCACGACCGGCTCTCCTTCCTCGTTTGAATTAGCAGCCTCAACTTTCAGTGGCGAAGTCACTACAGTTTCAACACGCTCGCCGAAGACTTCCTCGAACGTCGGCCACTGTGAGCTGCTTACCTGATGACCAGGATGAACACGTTGCCTACTCACCACGATCAGCCCTATACCAGAATAAAGCGAACGTCGGCTCCTTCAGCTGCACCCCCGTCATCACTGGGCCGGTCCCCAAAGTGGGCCTCAACTTCATGAGACCTCTTCAAGCTGAGCAACGTGTTCTGCTTGAAGTAATGGGAGTTTTGTCCTGACAGTGGTGAGCATCGACCTCATTCCCAAACTTTATGTTATACCACTCCTCCGGTGAATTATCCGACCACTAGGAAAGCCGTGCTGCCGAAGCCACGTGTCTGACTGCCCCTCTGTCCCTGCACGACGTCCCGAAAGGTAAACGATATCGCCCCTCGAAGCTGCATACCTGAGATTCGATGGACCGACCAAGTGGCGCAGCACCCTACTTCTCGAGGAAGTCCCTGGCCATTGCTATGGGCTCGTCCATCTTGTACAGGGAACCATTCAAGAGGATGTTATAGAACCTATAAGGGCCTCCGGGAAAGAACAACGGCAAACAAGCCTCTGGTACTTGGGGCCTTTATCCGTGCCAGCTCGCCGTGTTGCATAGTCGAGTCGCTTGGTGATATCAGCCACAGTGCCGTCCATGTCCACCGATATCATCCGAGGCTACACAACACACACGACTATGACCTCAACATCGTGTACAGAGCCCGACACCCAATGAAACTTCAGCATCGAACCACTCGAGTAAATCGACGTCCCATCACGCGAAAAAGCCCGAGATGGTACCAGTGGCTGAGCCGTGTGTCGGTGAGGCCGTGTGAGGAACCTGTCCATCGTGCACTGCTTCTTCGGTGCCCTGCCATCTGTCAATCGCCGACTTCCCATGTTCAAAACTAACTCGCCAATACCCTAGCCTCCCACCGAAGAGCTATGAGGGCATATTTCGTGAGGGGTCCCTCCTCCCTGGAACTGTATTGACCGACCGAACGACCCAACGTGACACTATTGGTGAACATGAAGTCAAATCTTAAGGGCGATCGGTTTACACTAAGCTAGACGGAATAACATCGTGCGTGTGCTCAGCCAAACACTCCGAATGTGACGAGGAGCTCGCACCTAGTCGTAGAAGGTGACAGAAAAAATATGCAGGTCAAAAAGCGGATGATCACTGAAGGCTGCAATCTCGAGCCCGGTGACACGCGTCTGAGGTGGTACGCGATACGACAAAGTAGTCCACTTACAGCAGTGGCAAAAGTTCACCTGAGAACCCGTGATATCACTTCAACATAGTTCACAAGGGCACACGCTAGTTGAGATGAGAAGTCGAGGAGAGACTCTCGCAAGAGTAGAGTTGGGAGAGGAATGGTAGTCTCAAATGACTTACTCATTTCAATGATGATTAGAGCTTGGATGAGGTCGTGACCGCAGAAGGGCCTGGGCTCAAACGGACTCCAGATCGCACCGGAGGGCAATCGGATAGATTGAATGGCGCGGTGACAAACTTCTGCCCATCAGCAGCAGTACCCCATATTCCGGTAGTGTGGGCCTGCTCAACACGGCACGCTTCATCTGGCTTGTTGATCCTGATCAAAGACCCCATGGAAAGCAAGCAATGCATTGGATATGGAGCATAGCCCTCCCCCCAGTGCGAGAAAACATGCACACGGTCAGCTACATGTGTGGTTAACGCTATGAAAATTTTGGGGAATTCTTGTAGGCTTCTGTACACCTCTACCCGAATTCGTATATAAACTCCTATAACTACCGAGGAAACTTCTGAGCTAAGTTGAGAAAAGTTAAAATCCAATCCAACACTGATCCCCCTACCTAGTGAACCACAGGTCGTGAGTTTCGTCCAAATGCTCCATTTCCTCGAGAGTATGATTCGATATGAAGGACTCGAGGACATCAAAGAGATACCCCAGAAGAGGCGCCAATCTCTCCACCATAGACGAGTGATCAAATGGTGACAACTTGGCCCACCTGAGAGCCTCAACTTACAACGTTAGTTCTGAGCCCCTTACAGGTAGTCGGCGCCGCCTCTGGAGACAGCGTTCAATAGGCGTGCGCGATACCACGGGTTCATGGCAGCCCAGAAGCGTCTGAGGCCCCTGTCTGTTTCCACACCTACCATGAAGCATTCAAACCCCAGTTTACTCCGGGGCTATCGCCCATCCAAGCCCTACATAACATCTGTATCCAGGCCCCATCCTTAGTTCGATGGCAGTTGCACGTGACCAGGGGCCAGGTCCTCCGGCATATCTCGTAGTTTTTCAACACCAATGTGCAAAGAGTAGGTGTCGCGACTACAGGAGCCAACTAAACAGCAGCGAAGACGTGTATCATTTGACCAGGTGACTGAACATACGGTTGAGCTGCAGTTCCAAAGACCACTACGGATGTAGGACATGTTCACAGCAATACCCCTAGCGGTCATTCGACGGTGTAGGAGCGCACAGAGGAAACCAGCACATACCTAGATGAGCGATAACTAATAGAATACGAGCGCATAGACAACGTAACCACCTGAGTGGAAATGAGGAGGTCCCCATAGTGCCATGGCAGCCTCGGAAGATGGCGACCACCCACGCCCTTGACCATAGTGATCA